GTTCGAGATAATTGATTTTTATTCACATATATATATATATATTATAATATATTATTCTGATCCTTTAAATTTATTTTTAATGTAGTCATTAAATTAAAAAATAGATCTTTCCTTACAAAATCACATATGCGTTTGTATATTTTCATAATTTTTATGTTTGAGACAAGTTAATAAAAATGATTTAATGACACGTTATTTAAATCTCTACACATTCCATTCTTTAGCAAGATAACTGCAAAACTATCACATAACCCAATTCCATAAATTGATCTGTAATTATCGTTTCAAACAATTTCTTATTCCTATTTATTTTTATAAATCTTCTATAATTTAATAGCAGACTAAAGATTTTGAAAAATATTAAATAAACATTCAAAGAAAGCAATCACATGCAGATTTTTTTGGATGCATTACATTTTATCTTAACTTATATATAATTATATTGGTAACAAACTCTTCATTATCTTTTGAAAATAATTCAACATTATTCCACGTTATTCCCTTTATCCTTGTCTCCCTTCAAACTCAATATATATATTCATCGTCGGTTACCCGTAGTCCGCAGCCGGCTAGGTTGCGTCCATGGCTTGTACGCGGGGCCGGGTTACAGCTAGGGCTGACAGAGGTCAGCGAGCAGACATTATCGGACAGGTGCGGCGTCGGACGTTGACGGCTGAAGGCTGCCAGTTTTTGGTCATGCATCGAAAAGTCGGGGCAATATTGATGCGGCGTCGGACGTTGATGGCTGAAAGTTATGGCTGAAGGTTGTGTATTTTTTGTCGTGCATCGGGAAGTATGGACAATTGTACGAAGTCTCAGACGGCTGATGATGGTCTGATTGGTTGAGTTTTGGCTCGAAATCGACGACCGAAGGATCACCATACTGACGGGTCAACGAAGCTTAAAGATATGAGGTCGTCGGTGCTGGTGCTGGTTGTTCCCGACTGCTGGACGAAGGTTGTTGATGCGTGGACGTCGCAATGATGCTGCTGACGGGCAGTTGGTAACAAACATGGCAAGACGACGGGCTAAACGAGTGAGATATCTCGATTGTTTTGCGTGGAATACTGGTCGGACTAGAGTGGATGTTGAAGGCAACGAATGGTGATCCAAGTTATCTGAAGGACAGAGCCATACTTGCACCTATGTTGGAGTTCGTTGAGGCTATCAACCAATACATGTCGTCGTTGAATCTAACAGAAGGTCGTGTATATTTGAGCTCCGACAGTACGTGTAAACTCGATTTGAATTCTGACTTCTATCATAAATCCACACTCCTGAGTTTTTAAATTCTCTCAAGTGTTCTGGTACACCAAATCATGAGTTGCATCCGAAGGTGGGAACTCTGGTTATGCTGTTGTGGAACATGGATCATTCTATGGGATTGTGCAACGGGACACGTTTGGTTGTAACAAGACTCTCCAATAATGTTCTAGAATGTAGGATACTTACGGGCGGCCATGCAGGGGATAAAGTGTTGATACCTCGAATGACGATAACTCCTTCGGATGCAAGAGTACCTTTTAAGTTTATATTGTAGTCTCTTATGCAATGACTATTAACAAGAGTCAGTGTCAATCCTTATCCCACGTTGGTTTATCCTTGAAGAAACCAGTTTTCAGTCATGGCCAACTATATGTTGTTGTTTTGCGCGTCACCAACAGAAAGGGTTTGAAAATTTTAATATGTGGTGAACATGATTTGCCCCCAAATCAAACAAATAATGTTGTGTACAGAAAAGTTTTTAATAATATATGATTTCTTATTTATTTATTTTTTTGTTTCCATTATTAGATGTTAAATTTAATTAATTACATTTAAAATAAGTACTTCAATATGTTTTAAGTTATGCGCCAACCGTGCATCGCACGGGTACATACTAGTTCATTTGAATACGACTTACTAAACTCGCTTTAAGGCCAGCAAGAGCAGCCTCCAAACGCTTGCAGCAGTCAAGAACCATCATCCTTGATTGAACCAACACATTTTCGTGAAAAATATACATCAAGACAGAAGTTTTACCATTCAAATAAAGAAAAAGCAAAGCATATATCAGATAACTCCAAGAAATAGCTCCCCATGGACTTGAAAACCATCCAATTACATCTCTAGAAAATAGTTGTAGAATATAAGACAAAAAGTTAAAGAATGAACACAGTTTCATTTGATCAAGCAGCCCAAAAAATTACATCAATATACTAAGTACATTCGTGTTACCTCAATTTGATTTACATGATAGCTTCCATTAAAAGCTCCTCCCAACAGTAATTTATGGACATTTAATAACCTTAACCATCCGCATAGGTAGTCGCGTCCTTGACAACCGATGCATCTCCCTAACCATCAAGCCTCCGAACAACCGACAACCCGTCACATGCAACTGAATTATGGGTGTGAACACCGCCAGCCGGTTATGAGACAGCTGAAACAATAATTCTGTTAAAATCCACAGTAGTAATTTAAAGAAAAAAATACTGCTGAACCAAAACTAATATATCAATCACCTAGGGCTTAAAGATATTGGCATCTATCTTGTCCCCACTGTGTCTAAGTGATAATAAATTTCATTTATTTACTTTGGCCCATGAAAAAAACTTTATGAAGCCTTTGACCTTGACACTGCAAATTCAACGGCACATTGAAGATCTTGTGGTGTATCCATATTGTTGCTCCATCACCCAACTTAGCTCTAATGCAGTCTCATATGATTCTGTAACATAATCCTACAATTATAAGGCTTATGATGTTTTAAAATTATTTAAAAAAAAAAAACATTGAATGAAAGCATGTTGTACCTCGAGCTTGGACATTTGTTCATGAGCAGTTGGGGCAGATAAAATGATGTGATAGGCAGAATCTTTCCATGGGTGTGAATACCGCTAGCCGCCGCTTATTTTTCCAGTCCATGCAGAATCTCTCCCAAGCACTGCTTGAGCTATGAACATGACGCACCCCTTCTTCATCTGCAGCAACGAACGGGCTCATGACGGGAGATATATACAATTCGCCAGAAAACTATTTATGTGTCGTATAGTGTTAGAATCTAGTTTTGATAAATGGGCGGACAGTAGATGGAGCAAATGCAACTAAAAGGAGATGCAATTATTTGATCATCCTATTTTGAGGACATGTTCTCAACAACAGCTCTCGGATGTCTCAATTATTCAACAAAACATGAGCATGAGTTATATAATACATGACATACATCATCCAGAACAAAAACTCTCCAGCATAACTCAAATTCGGATAAGCAATATAGCTGGTTGTTTTGGTACAAAAATGTGAAAGAAAGAGAAAGATTTAACCTATTCAGACACGGAGCATACTGATAAACATCTGCCCATATAGAACCAGTCCCGTAAAAGACGAATATCCAGCAATGACCAAAAGCTTCGATTGAGAGCAACAACACTAATATCCAAAACCCAACTTCGCCCTTATCGGTTAAGGTCCTAACCACAATTGCCCCTTCATAATAGCTAAATTACCAGTTAAAACACATTTACATGCTAAGAAGCCCTTACTATTTACCAAGTTCATAACCATAACCAAGTATTGAACAATAATCGCAACCAACCCGATACAATGTAACAGAACTTTCTCAAATCCCAAATCCAAAAATACAGAAACATTGACATTTGTAAGGTTACTATCCCAAATGACAAAATATAACTTATGACAACATGTGTCCGGCACAGGGACCTTTAACCCAGGTCTTACGGCTCAAAATGTGTCCAGCACAGGACCTTTAAACCAGGTCTTACGGCTCAAAATGGAGACTACCCTACGGGTACGTTATATAGCTACGGGGAAAACCGTTCGACGGCCGGTACAGCTCACATCGAAGGCTACATGGTTCAGATGCATACAATGATCATACCAAATTTAAAACAGTAATAACATTTACAGCATAGACAATTTTAAATAAAACCCACCTGGTAATCGAGTAGGCAATAGCACACAAGCTGAAGAACGTAGGTCGAGGGCTCGACTCCTCTAACCTAAAAATTATGGATTTAATTGTTATTAAGGGTTTTGATTGGGTTGATTAGCAAACAGATATAACAACACACAAAGAATACCATTAAACCGCGCAAGGCACGCATAGTAGATTAGGGCACAATAATCAGTCAAAACAATACATAAAAGCACATAATCTTCTAACTTTTCTTTTTATCAATTTCAAAAACACATATCTAAGCCTTAAGGGTTGAAATAATTTACTCTTATATAAAATATTCTTATATGAAACATGCTTAGCATACAGTGGTCATAATCAAGGCTCAGAATCAAATTAACTCGCATGGCTAAAAAGATGTACCAAATATATGCCAACTTCGATTTACTTTTCTCAAGCTTATACAGTAATCTAAAGCCTTGAGGCTGAGTATGAAACCTCTGAAATATAAATTTTTCAGCATGTCATTTATTTCAAGAGCTCAGCAAATAAGGGCATCATACATTGGATAAGATTAACATATAAACATACTTTCACTTATCTTTTTCCTTTTTCTCAAACTCTTACCACTTTCAAAGCCGAAACAAAACTAAGATAAAGTGCTATAACCACACATAAATTTCAGCCTTCAAAATCACCAACATCATAGCATAACATTACATAACAATTTGGTCACAAATAAGCACATAAACACATTAACAGTTCAGCAAAAAGGGGCATCAAGCAACAACAATTATGTAGCCTTTTCTTTCCTTTATTCTTTTTCTCCATTTCATAGAAACACATAAAGGCCATATGAACTGAGGTTAAACCTCTGAAACGTCTCCATCTACAGTATGCTAAGGACACCACGTCAATCCAGCAAGGAGTCACACACACTCAAACAGGGCATCAACAACGAAATCTCATGCTTCTTTTTTCCTTTCTTATCTCAAGCTCAAGAACCATCATTACATTAAAAAAAAAGTAATTGAAAAACTCTAGGTCTTAAACATGTTCTCAGCAGGATAAGTGCAAGACNTTAGCACGAAAAAAAAAAAACCACGGCAGGAATGTCACACAAAGTCTCCCTTTCTCTTCAAACTTAAACATGTATATCACAAAATTCCAAAAGTGAAATTGAGCATTTTTTAACCACAAAATCACGACCAAAAGAAGGCTAAAGACTCAGCCAAATTACCGTGAAAAACAGAGAAAGAAAGGAGCTCGATTCAGACGGTTTTTGGCTCGGCTAAGCGGCTGCAGCTCGGCACTTCGGCCCTCCTCTGTTCGTCGGGTAGTCCTTAGTCGTCGGAACTCGCTACTCACGGTCGTCTAGAACTCACCGGGAATCCGATGGCTCGACCTGCCGGAAGCTTGGCGAGGTCGGACGAAGGCCGCCGGACGGAGCCTCGGTCGCCGATCGCAGGTCGAGGACATGGCTGGAAGTCGGAGGTCTCGGCCGTTGTCGGAAGACGGGGCTAAGCAAACCTCGGTCGTCGAGAGCTCGAAATCGCTGGACAATGGTCGGGGCTTGCAAACAGTCGCGGCCCGATGGGAATCGAGGCCCGAAGTTGCTGGAGGACTGGCCTCGTCGGACGTTGGTCCCGTCGCCAGGAATTCTGATGACCCTCGGCTCGCCTTGAATGGTGGGCTCACGGTCGTCGGTAGTTGGTGGCTCGCTGCTGGAAGCTTGCTGGCCGAATGGATTGATTTGTCGTCGTCGGATTGGTGCTGCTCTCTCTGAAAATTTAACTTATGACAAAATATAAAACTAAAGCAACATACAAATAAAGTAAGATGTTAGGTGTACATTTAGAATATCCTCAATATCACCAACACACAATCTACATCAACCTAAATAGTAGAAAGAAAAGGTTTCTCCTCTTTCCAAAAAATCTCTGGGACTCCAAAGATGTTGACTGTAATTCATACTTAGGACATAACAATATCAGCCAACAAAATAACCAGAAATGATGTTGCAGTGACCTAACAAAAGATATCCACAAGCTCATAAATTTGGGAAAGACATGGGAAGCCTGAACAGTGGCATTACAACAAATTGCCCACAAATTCAAGGATATCTTTTTCCAAATATCCGAAATAAGTTCAGCCCCTAAATTCAAATGACGAACTCGGCATGGAAAAAAAGCTCAGATTTTCACTTTGGTTTGAAACAGAAAATAAAGGCTCGACGAAGAACAACAAACAACATAGCATGAATTATAATCGATTTTTCTGAACTTAAGACTTAAATTCTACTAACATGAAAACATGTACTTATAATCAAACTTTTTTCTGAAAGTTTCGAGGGTTTACCGTTCGCCAGTCGAAGAAGAAGAATCGGGCTGGAAAACATTGATTTTTTGTCATCGAAACTTGTTTCGTCTCAGCCGCATGAAGCTAGTCTCAACCCCGTGGAAATTCTCGTCTCTGCCATGGAAGAGCGCTGTTCCTGTTCCTGGAAGAAGCCTCGCCTGTTGCCGGACGTGCTCAGAAACCTGCGCAGCCGCGGGCTGCTTGCTCTCGCTGCTCCAGCCGTGGGGTTCTGATTCGCCCGTTCGCCGGAACCTGGTGCTCTCGGTTCGGTGCCCTCAGGCGATCTCGGTATCGCCGGATAAACGTCGGCCAGAAAGAAAATATAAATAAACTTGAAAAAGGAAGAGAGAAGGAGGATAAGGCGTGATTTATGGAGGGTGAAGACGATGGAGATCCCGAGATTCTCTAGTGCCTCGATGAGCTCCTTCCGGCTGCTGTTCCAATCGCCGTTCATCGAGCATGGAGAAGACGTGGAGATCCACCGTGCCTATATCCTTCTTAATTGGAGAAATGGTTTGAGTTTGATTTTGGGAGAATTATTTTGGATGTGATTTGTTTTGATTTGATTTTTGGAGATTGGGTTTTGGGAGAATTATTTTTATTGACAGATCTGATTTTGAGAGAGATGGGAGAAGCAGTTTAGATATGATTTTGTACAAATTTTAATGCGTTTCAATACCGGCTAACAGAAGAATTGGTTTTGATAACGTATTAAATTGATTTTGATAAGGCTTTAAAATCGGCACCTTTTTAGGACTTTTTGTTGATGATAAATATAGATTGATCTGTATAAAATATACCATCCCGTAAATTATGGAATCACAAATTCAAATTGAACGGATTTTAAATATGGTATCACAATTTCAAATTGATTGGTTTTTATAAGATTGCTATAATTAGTATGTCAACATGGTTGACTCATTATTTTTTAAAACTTTCCCAAAAGGATTTATTGACCTCTCTTTTTCAATATATATAGATTCATAAGTTAAGAATAATCTAGACTTACCTAAAAACTAAGCAAAACTATAACTTCCTAGAGAATTCTTCGTGAAGGATTTTTTACAAGTTCTAAATTTCTCCAAAAGAATATTAATTTTTAGCATTCTCCCTTAATGCTCATTTGGATAACTTTAAAGAATTTTTCATGAAGGGTTGCAATTTCTAAATTTCTCCAAAAGTGTATTAATTTTAGCACTCTCCCTTAATGCTCATCTGGATAACTTTGAGCCTATTGCATAGTGCCTCGAGTCTTGATGTCAGCAATTGTTTGATTGCACATTATGTAGCACTTTGACTTTTATTTTGGTGGTTTTGAAACTTGTCTATGATGGTTGTGTGAGCTCGTTTTTTCTGATGGCCTGATTCTGGAACTTTTCATCTTAGGGTGATCTTTTTGTCGAATGATGTTTTTCTTCTTGACATCTTTTGCTAGATTATTGACATTTGACTTGTGAATTGTCTTGTACTTTTGCACTGAATAGTGAAATTCTATTCCCTCATTTTGATTTTTACAATTGTTTTCTTGTTCTTGTCGTAAATGATGCATGTAAAACTCCAATGAAATGCAAGTTGTACCTTTTCTTTAATATTTCGGCGACACTTAGTAGATTTTGATCGATTATTGGAAATATGAGAACATTACGGTCGTGTGTGGAGACTCTTGACTCTCAGAGAGCCGAGGCTATCGAGGATTGGATCGAGTTCTTGAATAATCCTTCGTTGAAAAGATCGATCTCAGTTAGCAACTCGTGTTAGAAAAAAAAAATGAAACCTAAAAAAAAAGAAAAAGGAAAACAGAGAAGAAGAAAAAGGGGTGTTGTA